TTTCTATTTTCATGTTATTCGTTGACGAAAAAAATGCCGTATTGGAACACCGTTTAGAAGTTTTTGTTTCAAGTTTTCTTTTATCTCAAGGAAGGTTTTTATCAACAAAAGTTGAAGTTAGCTGATAAAATAATACAAAAAAATAATGATGATGAAAAGATGAAACCTCTACTGAGAACAACACGATTAAATATTACTTACTCGTGATACCATAGGAGAAATGCAGATGCTATCTAACAAACACTTTTATGGTTCAATTTTTGTTAAGAAGAGGTTAAAATAACCTTACTTTTAATTCTAAAATTGTTTCTCAAAGCTTTAAATGGTAAGATTGCTTACTTTCCGGATCGTAAGCGAGAACAGACTTTGATTTGATATAATACTGTTTTGTCTTCGCTTTGCACTTTCAACAATAGAAAATGAATCGAATTAGCACATTTATAGCAAGGTGTTCATAGTTACTGAAATATTCATTCCAAAAGCGTTTTTATTTTTATTTTTAGAGGATGAGTTGCTTACTGGTGTTTTTTTTTTGTTTAAACGATCGTCCGGATATCTGTTTTGACTCTTTATTAAAAACTAAAAAAAATTTCTGTTGAGGCAATCGATAGCTTTGACCGGTGTCACAGAGGGTCCAGAATATACTTCAATCAATAATTATGTAGAACAGTCTTTGCCTTTCAACGATGTGCGACGCTCGAGTAAAATAAAGTCAGTGTAAAAAGAATTGATTTCAGCGCTTAATGGTATAAGGCGCACGAAAAGTAGTGCTTTTCGCGGAGCTCAATCCCAAAGTTCTATGCGGCGCGCTAGCATCAAATCCTTTTTTTTTCTTTTTCTTTTTTCTTTTTTTCCCCACTGATATTCTCTTCGCCAAAAAGGAGAGACTGGTCGTATTCTAATGAATCTGATGCTGTTAGCATCAACAGGAAAAGTCTTTGTGGAAAAGATAAATTTCAACTATTCTCAAAAATACAATCACGAGCATTCTCATTTAATAACTATTCTATGAGCGTACATTGGATATGAGTTAGCTATAACTAATCTTGTTCCAGCAAATACAAATGCAATAATTGTTTATTTAAATTTTCCACTTTTCGTTAATAGGCTTACTTAACTGTTTCAATTGTAAATTTTTTCCAAATTTGAGTTACCGGAAGTCTATTACTTCCAGGCGCAAAACAGCAAAACCTATATTAAATGACATTATTGTTTCAAAAAATGGTTATTCTGTAGTGTCTTCGGCCATTTTGCTCATTGTTGGTGTGTTCGAAATGTTTTCCAGATCACGAACTTGCCTTCTCCTTATCGAACCAAGTGCGGGATGCCAAAGCTACGCTTCTTTGACAAATACAGCAAATCCAAATGTTTCTTGGACAAACTGACTCGTTATGTTGTCAGAAACTGCAATTGCCGAGCCTGGTTCATGCCAGGTAAGTTCGCTTTCAGTTGACGAATCCGACATTAAAATAATTTCAAATATTAGCAATTAGCTTCTCTCTCCACTGAGCGAGTTACCATACTATAGTAATCATCAACTGATTTTTGACCTGTCTGTTGCTCAGTGATATTCGTCCAAAAAGACTCGTGCCATCCTCTCAACCAATCAGATGCAAAGTTTATGACATTTTCCTTTGCTCCAATTGGCCGTTTTGGTTTCTGCGGTTTTGGTTCTATGATACTTAATGAGCTTAATCTTGCCTTTACGAAGAGTCTGAATGGGATTAACAGACTAACAAATTGGGCGAAAATGTAAATGGGAACCAAAACGCAAAAAAAGATTACTTATAAGCGGCAAGTAAGTACTAACCAACATGCTCTGACATTTTCGATACTTGCATTCTAAAAAAAGAATTTTAGCCTTAGAGGTAACCTCTTACAGTTTAAGTTTCAGTCAAAGAATTTCCTGTCATCAAACTTATTTTATGACCGGGTCGGAGCGCGGCCTCATTTCCACAACAGCGTCTGGTACTCGAATATGAATAATTAAGTTGCATTTTTTTAATCATTAACTGAGATTAACTGACTACCGACAAAGATCGAAAACTTTTACCGACTACCGACAAATTAATGAAATTCTATCCGACAACTGACGTAATGACCTCCCCCCCACCGTCCACTTCCACTCAGACCCTCTTAATGACATCACCATCACTCAAGTTTACCCACTTCCTACCTAATTAACCTAACAATCGAAATCACAAGCAAACTTGACGCCATTTCAGCTCAAACGGAAAAGCGAAAGATCATTTAGTCTATCGCTACCTTAGGGAATTTGCGATATAAAGGGCTAGCTTGATGCATAATATGGAACTTGGCCCATAAGGATCCTTTGTGCCCGTTTTTCTTTGGACAGATGATGCTTATCTATCTATCTATCTATCTATCTATCTATCTATCTATCTATCTATCTATCTATCTATCTATCTATCTATCTATCTAAGCCTATTGCTCCTCCTACGACATCGGCCGTCAAAAACAGTCCGCCAGAGACCTCTGTTCTTAGCTATCCTTTCTAGTTACCTCCACGAATGGCCGGTCTTTCTGATGTCAACCTCGAGGTCATAACCTCAGGTGTTCACCGGTCGCCCTCTCTTTCTCTTACCCTGGGGATTCCGATAGAGGGCCTGTCTTTTGACACTTGATGTTGGTTGGCGAAGGGTGTACCCTTATGGATCTGTAAATTTTTAACAAAAATCTCACTGTCGTTCCATATATGGGCGACGTTTTCCCGTTGTGAGTTTTCTGGGCTTGACATCTCTATTGATTTGTCTGTAGGAGCTGATGTCGGAATTCCTGTTTGCGATCTGGAAACGAGTCATACGTGCATGTGGCCGGCCTGGGGTAAGAAGTGTTCATGAATAGACCCAGTGATGTCAAGTCGAAGATGTCTCTTGACTTAGGGGAGAGTGAAAAAAAAAACACACACACATGTTGATTTAGACAAACAAGAGCGTTTGTTTTAAGTTTAAATGTAATATACGAGAAAAGAAAAGGATTCAATCTTATTGCAGTTACTTAAGTAGCGAGGCTCAAAATCATACTTGGTAAGGGAACGTTATTATGTAAGCAGCACAAGCAAAATGAAAAAGTTTTGTAAGCTCCCTGACAATGCAAAACCTTTTGCTTTTGTTTTGCCTTGTGTTTATGTGCGTTAACACAGCGAGCCCAGATGAAATAATTGCATGCTTTTATTGATCAGCTGGATCAGAATACCAGGTGGGCTCTTGGACATTGTGCATGGTCAGTTCTAGACATATGTTAGGCTTCATGACCTCTGCAGTTAATCTTTAGCTATGGCAGAAAACGAAAATTGTATTTAGTAGATTTTTCAGAAACACTGTGTTTAAATTTCAGTGCATTTCGAGGACAAGAAATTGGACGAGTGTCCCGTGGCTTGTGAAAGCGTGGAATTTTCTGCTCAGATGTCATATGCCCGCTATCCGGCCAATGCCTATGCTGATTTACTTCTTTCCAAAGAGAGAAATTTGACAGGTTCACCCGAAGAAAACAGACAGTACTTGAGGTAGTGTGACGTCAGATTTCTAAACCTTAATGCAACATTTGGAGATTCCTAGGCGTAGGAAATTCTATCAGGGTCCCGGCTTAAAACACACTTCTGACATTTTCCATGTGCTCAAAACAAAACTTTATCATTCGTTCCAGTCTCCACACGGGGGTAGCGCCTGGTGCTTACAAAAAAACAAACAAACAAACGATCGCGTGTCCAACATTGGTACCTATTTTTCTTGCGTATTTGTGTTTTCTTTTATGAATTACAATCACCGGTATTCATGAAATTATTTCTTATTGTTGGACTTTTTCTACTTGAATTTCAGAGATAACCTTCTGGAGTTAAGGATTTATTTCGAATCTTTAACTTACTCTGATGTGAGACAGGTTCCCAGTTATGATCTGTACAGTTTGTTAGGTAGGAAACTTTTTATTTCCTTTTTATTACTATATATATATATATGCATTATTCACGGCGGCAACATTTCTCACATTTCATAAACTCTCTTACATTACATTGCTTACAGTACATCACTTACAATATAATACTTACAACGAGCTGCTACGATGAATTTCCCACTCCTGTAACACTACGATGCTGAAACATTTAATTTTCTTAAACCTCCCAGCCCCCTTCCCCCACCCCTGCTCACTTTCAGCTTGCGACCAACTTGTAGTTTGAATACAAGCTTTGCATGTATGGACGTAATCCTGCACTCATCGCATCATAAAGCTTAATTCCGAGACAATTTTTTTTGCATAAGAAAAACCTCCTCCTCATTTCAACCAGGCAAACCATTTATTGATATCAAGGAAAGGTTTCGGGTGAAAAAAAAGGAGGGGGGGAAGTGGGTAACATACATGATTCTGTACGGTTTTAGTATCATGAAGCAGCTAGGCGCCTGTCACTTTGCTTAGGTGGGATGATATTCCGTTGCAGTTAGCCCTTCCTCAGTATTTCTTCAGGTTGCTCTGACAATTTAGGGTTATCAATTTATACTCCTGAGGGGAGAGAGGCCCTGTGAGTGAAAAGGACTAAGCGAAAGACCCGGCCATTGTTCGAACCCCGACCTCTCGACCCACCAGATTTTAAAACACCAGAGATTACTAACGCCTGAAGTTGTACCCAGTCTTAACCTATGAGTTTACGTCAATTTCAGGTGACGTGGGAGGTCAAATTGGTCTCTTTCTCGGCGCCAGTCTCTTGACGTTTGTCGAATATTTGGATCTTCTGGCAATGGTGCTATTCACCAAATACAAGTATCACAATAAGTGATTAGAAAACATTGACGGACTTAGTTAGTTTGGAGTAAATAATAACTAACATAATATTCAGTATAATTTAATTTACGTGAAATTACTATTATGATTGTACATAAAAGTATTTCTTAGAAAAGAAATTGTTTATGATAAATTATATTTATTCTGTAGAGATTTCACCGAAAAAGCTCTCGGTTATATTATAACGCAAAAAACATTGTAATATCAACTTCTGATATTCAAAATATTTCTTGGGCAAAAAATGCTAAAGCTGGATAATTTCATGATATCTTCTACGCAAACCTGGATAATTTATGAAATCAAGTTCCTGTAAACTTAAGACTGTTACATTGCAATGCCTTTCCGCTAAGTGAAACAATGCTGGTAATTTAACAGCATTATCAGGTTTAGGACACTTTTTGAAACTTTGAGGACCAAAGAGGTTGTAGCATTATGTTTGTGAAAGCCATCACTAAAATTGGAAAGCTGACAAAAACGTAATCTAACGAAAGGAAAGGTTCCCAGCTACCTAAATGTTGATGCCAAGCTTTTTCCATGCTTTCAGGAAAATTCTTGTGACAGCCTTAAATCCGAGTGGGAGATAAAAAATGAAAATTTGGTAATCGTAACTGATCTAAGAACTCGCAGATTATTGTATTTTAAGTCCCAAAAGGTCTGATGGCCAAAAACACTGAATAACGTATTCAAAAAATTACTTGTCGACCTTGTTGATACTAACAACAGTAAAAGAATGTTTTGAAACATTTAATCCACAAGAAGAATAATTTAGCTATCATATTTAAAAACAAAACAATTAGTAAACCAAATTTTGACAAGGAAAGCTCCCGACGGGAGAGATTGCGTTAGAAAAAAAAAGTCGTTTCTGAAATCTCTATTTCAGCTTGAGCTTAGTGGGACGTTTATTGCTTATTTGGAGACGAATGATATAAACTGCGAAAAAATGACCGAAAAATTTAATTTTACCGTTTGTGGTTTACAATTTGTATTCCGTTTCCATTTTAAAAATCGACAAGAGAAGCGGGTGATTTTGCAAAGGTCTGAGTAAAACATGACCTCAGTCTTTCCCATCTTGAAATTGTGGCATGTTTTTATAAATGCTATGGTGGAATATGTTTAATTAACTCAGAGGTTTTTTTTCATGTCTCAGCAACTATGGAGGTTTTACTTAAATCCCGCCTCTTCCTGTTTTGATGGATTTGTATAGGAATTGAAAATAGGAAAATATTCCCCTCTATATCCTTGAATTTGGCTCGTGATTTAGATGTTTTTCTGAAACTTCTGATCAAAATTGGATAAAAGGAATCTCAGCCAACCATCTATTGATTGTAGCGTCCCATTATTATTTTCGCTTCTCTTCACTGTTTTCCTTTCTTTCTAAGTTCATGAAGTGTCCTCAGCTGCGGAGCCAAACAAACTACTTGTCAATTAAATTTTACAATAGATATTTCATCCTTTTTTCTCAACCTGTCGCTGTATTTTTATCGTGTTCGTGTTATTTTAGTATTTTTCTTCGTTCTTGGTGATTTTACGTGAAAATTGGACAAAGTATATTAATAATAAATAACATTTGTGGGCGTCTACCTCATAAAAAAGCGACAATTTAAAGGCCTCTCAATAAGCGTCCTACGGACTAACTCAGTGGGAACGACAGCGCACCGTTAGAAAGAAGATTTTTGCTTGAAATTATCTCGTCGTATAAAAAACGGTCTTATATTACTAACTCGCCATCATATTTGGATGACATATAATTTATTACTTGACGACAATTTAAATACGTTAAGACGAATAAATCACGTATTTTCCAAAATACGTAGAGCAGTGTCAATAATGATAAATGCAAGTAGGTTATTTTGCTTAATGGACTAGACACGGGAAAACTTTCTTAGAAACTCCTGTCAGTGCTTTGTGGTGAGAGAAGAAGTGGGGTATCGTTAAATTGCGTTAGACTGGGAGAAATAAGACACAGGGTGATATGTGCGGTTATTCTCGGCTATTCTACCACCTGTCTGTCTAAATTATCCTCTGAAATATAACAACGCGACTAATTTAAATTTATGACTTCCTTTGACATGCAAATTCAGGTTTAATGGGCAGAATAACAGGTATGGTGCACTGAATACCATATCTGATTGGTTTTTTCTACTTCATCCAAGCAGATCTGAGATAGATTTAATTAGAGGCCGACATGGAGAAATAAATATATATATATATATAAGAAAAAGTTTCGAGGTTTTGGTTCAAATGATCTCTCTGGCCTTTATTTATGACAACGTTCTAGCAAAGTTCCGTAACTTTTGAGGTGACGCTGTTTGGCTTGGCAATCTCCGTGTGGTGTTTTGGTTAAGGTTCGTTGTTTGCTGGGGCAGACGCAAAAAGAAAAATGTCGAACTTATACAACGAGAACGACTCCTCTGCGGAGGAGACGGGGGATGTTAAGATTCTCATCAAAGGTGGTGACAAGCTCAGCCCGGGAACTAACAATGTGTATGCGTTTTGCAATCACTGCAAGAAGGACATTTCTGTCGTGTACATCAAGTCGGAGACGAACGGTAAAGAATTAGCCGTGACGGAAACGTTGAAGACAAATTGGCCAGCTGTGTTTGAAGGGGGATTTCCTGAGAACGACTACGAGAAATGCAAGAAGAAC